GTGTGTGTGTGTGTGAGAATTTGCTCCTTGCAACCTGAACCTCCCATTCACTCTGGCTGACCTCTTACAGGGTTCAACAAATGATCCTTTTAGTTTCCCCAGGGTCTGAAACATGAAAACTCACCTCTCAAAGTGGCCTTTGTATAGATGATGGTGGGCATCTGCAGCATGTGCCACATGATCCAGTGCTGCTGTTAATGTTACCCATTTGTCTTTTATTAACTCACTTTAATAACTTATGTCTATTACATATCTTGAAATAACTGTTGTCACTAAATGCATGCAGTGACACATTTACACTGATTTATGGGAAATCAGAACTTGTAAAGGGATTAGTAGTATTCAAGAGAAGTATCGGTTTCAAACGGGAACGTTAACGTCACACAATTTAAAAAGAAATGTTTGACGTCTTTTGCACGCTGCCAAGAAACATCACACACTGGGCTGTTGAAATTAATGTGGGAAAACAATGTGAGTTCCTCATTGGTTCCCCATTCAGAGCCGTGTTGGAGCTTTCCCCACCATGCTTTTGTGTCCCTGTTCTCTTTGGCTAACTTTGTGCACCAGGCTCCCTTTTTTCAGCCCCAATTCAAATACAACAGGAGGAGGTTTGAATGTTAACGATTATATCATTCCTTTCTGTCCTCCTAGGCAACACAACAGCTTCTCCGTCAGCACGTTTTATGTCCCTTACTAAGCAACAGTCATAACAAATGACAAAAGGGGAACATTTGTTTTAAAAATGCCTCTGAAGTCAAAGCAAGTCAGCACAGATGCATCTAATTTAAAAGGCATCACAGGGAAATCTAATTTGAGAAGGATTTGTTAGTTGCAATGAAAACATCCATGGGAGAGTCAACGTGAGGGCAGCCAAAGGCAAAGCTTAAAGATGAAATTAATAACAATTATTAGAGTATGGCAATAACAATTACTGGCAAGCTATTTTCATCATTTGTCTGTAATGTTTTTTTTCCCCATTCAGTGAGGTTACTAAAATACATTTGATTCAGTAAAATAAAAGGTATTAAAATGCTCATCATAATTGGCTTACAATAAACAGGACACTTCCCCTCTCACTCTAATGAAATGGTGGTATTTTTCAATAAATAATGGATGTAATGTAATGGATCATTACTTGATGAGAGTGTGTATGGATGTATTGTAGGCCTAATTCAACCAAATGGATGTAATAGGAAGTACCCTCTTGATAATCCTAAAGCAATGACTACAGGACTCAGCACATATTTTTCTTTTATGTGTAGTGTAACTGTGTTTCTTAATGCATGTGTTCATCACTGTTACTATTCCTCTTTTAAAGGACCAGTGTGCAGGATTTAGTGGCATATAGCAGTGTAGTGTGTAAGAGATCCTAGGATAGTATACTATCCTACACATCAAGGTATTATTAGAGATTGTAAGCAAACCTCCATATGAATTTAAATAACAATAATGATAGAACTTTTTTTTTTATTCCATTAACATCATTAGATCCTCCTAAATGTTACACACTGGACCTTTAATGTGAACATTGTGGACTGTTAGTGTGGGAGGTGGGTCGTTACACAAATGTATAAATAATCCAACAAATGTTTAGTTTAAGGATACTCACACTAACGTCATGACCCAGACTTTGAAAGGCTTTGGTAACATAATGCAGGCGTTCATATTTAATGGGTGAGCTATTATTTGATAGCCAGTGTGCAACACTAACCTGTTGTCTCTTTTCTATCTCCAGCTTCATCCGCATGCTCAGGCACCTCAAGGTGTCTTGAAAGGTCTGCCTCAGGGTTTTCTCCATCAGAACCTTATGAAAGGCTCCCACCACACTGCCACACAGGAACACCACTGCATTGGACAGCAGCTACAAAAAAAGACACAGTAGCAGATGTTAGAGCTCAAATGAAAACAGTAATATATACACGCGCACACACACACTTATGCATCTGTTCCCGCTGGATTGGGACTTTTGAAAATACTCATTTACTTTGTTAGTGGCTTTACTTTCATTGTTGCTTATTATTTTGTATCTGATTCAACATTATATATATAAAATTGTATGTCTAGTCTTTAGCACACAGCTGGAGACTGATAGAGAAGCATTTCTACAACATAATGGCATTTATCCAGCTGGTTTTACCTGGTTGGGAAGGTTAGGAGGGGACCTATCGCTGTATATGGTAAGGCGCAGTGTGAGGACCATGATGTGAGACAGTGAGGAGATGACACTCAGCACCACAGCGTACCACAGCTGGAATGGCAGCATGGTGTACACGGTGAAGATGATGAAGAGGAAGAAAGGCACCTGGAAACATAAAGGTATCATTATTTCAACCCGTTGTGCCACAAGTAAATCAGATTGTTCTAAATTCTACGTTCGTTTTGAGTAATTCAGTGCTTGAAAATTACTTGTAGAATATACTATAGGCATATTATCAGCAAATACAGTGTAAGTTCTAGACATACACACTAGAATATTTAATTAACCAATGCTAACCAAGTTTTTTTCAATTATACGTCATCCAAATATTAGAGATGGAAAATATTTAAGAATTACATCTTAAATCTAATAAACATCATACATCTTCCCCTGTGTAGACTATATTTGTTGTGCACGATTACCATGCCAGAAAATTTGCGTGGCTTGAGAGGGCCATTCCAAAAAAACAATTATGACCTTCATCTGGACCCTATGGGACGGTGAGGTTACCTGGTCCCAAGGCAGGATGATGGGGCTGCTGAAGATGAAGGTGTAGCCCATGGTGAGATGTGTGGCCCATACAATCAGGCCGAGCAGACGCCTCCATCTCTGTGAGAGCATCTCTGTACATACCAGCACAAACACTGCCAGGAACACACACAGGCTGCCGCTCACTACGCTCACAAAGGCACAGTGTTTCACTGCACTCTGCTCCAGCGGCGAGGGAGAAAGAGAAAAATAATGCATATATTATCACTGTAATACATCATTTCATAGTCATATATTTTTCAGTCAGTATGGATGCATGAAATTCATACAATGGTATTATGCAGAGTACTATAAACATAAGTTATATTACAGTTAATTGCATGTGTCAGCTTTAATAAAACATATTTATTAAATGTTTAAGACAACAGTCGGCAACTTGCGGAAGAACAGTAAGACCATGCAGTTGCTGCCTGGTGTGCGGGAGAATCAGTCGCAAACATTAAAATGATGTGTTGAAATCGAAAATCCTCACAAGCAGACCCTTTACCATCACTGACTGAAAAAAAATACAGGATATTGCTTTATAACACTACAAGCTACATTTCCAAAAAAGACCACTGGTTTTAATCAACAGCTTTACGAGTCCCAAAAAAACAAAACTAAAATCATAAGCCTCACCAAATTGGTATACTGCAGGCCTATTGTATTTTTTGTATGGCAAGTCTGTTATTTTGTTCACCTCTACATATATACTTAAAATCCAATAAAATACTTGCTTATCCTTTTTAATCAGTATTGTATTGTTTTTCTGATTAATAAACCCTTTCTCTAAAAGTAAACCTGAGGTTTAAGATGAATATAAGTTGCTCCTGAGAGCCACTGATATTCAGGCAGAGCACTGAGGCTTATGTATGAGTTTTGTCTTCACGTCTGTATTTGCGTCATGTCCTGTTTGCTCCAGGCCATCATCTTCCTGATTGGGTTACTGTACAGTGAGAAGCATGCAAGAAGGGAAAAAGATGCATTTGTGCGCATATGTGAACGAAGAAGCATGTTTGCATGTATGTGTCTATGTCCTATTTGTGTATGTGTATGTGTTGTATATGCACATGCATTCATGAAAGTAACAACTGTGTACACGTGTATGATTGTCTTGGCGTGGGAGGCAGAGAGAGTGGGTGTCGGAGGGAGAGCAAGAGAGAAAACAAGGGGTTAAAAGAGCGCTCAAGAGTGAGACAGACGCACAAAGTCAGCATTAATAGATCTCTGCTCAGAGAAGGCCATCTCTGCATTGTATGTTGAGCTTTCTGGTTACCATGGCAGCATTGGAAAAGGCCAGATCTCAACTAAAGCACTTTCTACTCCCCTATGTAGCTGTGAGTCTTGACAAAACCTTCTTGTGGGCAGAAAAAAGAACAATTATTCTTTATGAACAGGTGCTAAAATCACATGAACAGATACAGAAGCATGGCACACCAAAGACTAAAAAACACATGAAACCAGATGTAGCATTTGCATACTTTTCTCTTATTATTACCACTTACGAAACAGTTTTTATGATCCAATTGATTGTATATATTTTCAGTATTTATGCAGGTTCTTACTGATATATAAATATGTTATTTACTACTACTAAGTGAAAAAATAAAGTCAATTATTATCTTACAATAAAGGTCAACAGTAAAGAGTGCTTCAACTACCAGATAATCACAGTTACCAGCAGTTATCGACAACAAAGGCAGGGGTCAAAGCTGCAGTGGCTGAATAATGTAAACAGGTGAAATGACAAAACAAGAGCCATGTATGGCTAACACTGATGTCTTAAATGAAATATATGCTCCACAGGCATTCTCTCACAGCTCTTAGAAACATATAGACCTTTTGTATTTGGATACAGTTTTACAAACCCCGAACAATAGGCTACTTAATACCATCTCTCCAGCCAATCAGGGCCCGAGACTGCTACCATAAGTGGCACTTAGAAAATCAGCTCAGCCAGTTTTTCTCTCAGCATTGCTCTTCATCCGATGTCGATTGGAGAGGAGTTATATAAGTTGACAGTAACCTTCTGACACCGGTAACCACCCCCTAACAGGCACCCTGCCCATCCTTTGCATTTAACAACAGTGTTATACAAGCTCGAGCCCAGCATTTTCTCTTTACTCTTTTGGACCCCTGGCAACTGTGTGTGCAGGAAGACAGTGAAGAAGAAAAGGGACAAAAAAGCAACAGAAGAACTGAGTGACGGTATGACCGGGGATGGATGAGGGAGTGAGCGAATAAGTGAATTTTGGATATTTAATATAACAATTTTCGACCAATGAGTAACTAAAATGAAAGAAAGTTGCAGGAAATACAATTGTGTGTTTGTGTGTGTGTGTGTTTATTTGTATATGAGCAAGAGAATAAATACAGTGTTAGTATGCACATGAACATATACATTAGGGATGGAGCCATTTCAAAAGGGAGTGTGCCAGAGAGTCAGCAGCAACACAATAGAAGGAAGGTTAAGAAGTTTTTTCCAACAGGGGAAAGCAATATAATCTCCAGTGACAGAAGCTGTCAGTTCACTATATGAACTGCCGGTCTGACTGACTGCTCTGCAGCCTGCCACCATGCCAAAATCAACAGCAGGCCACCGATCAGCTGAAGTCAATGAATACCTGCCTTTTCCTGTCACAGTCAGTGCACTTCGACAGCTACGTTGTTTCAACCACCATTTTCTGTCTTCTCCCTTTCCTTTCTCAAGTCTTTTTCTTCTATTCAGTTTTTAAACAAAGCTTAAGAAGATGGTTTTGGTTATAAGTGCAGAGTTGTGTGTTTAGCAGGGAGCCTGTGCCTCAGTGAATAGACCTGTGCTCAAGTCCCCATGTCCATGCACTACCAGCTCCAGGGCTACTGTTCTGTAGCTCACCCTGACCTCTGACCGCTCTGCAGAGAAAGACAAGACAATTTCCTGACAGAGAAGTATCATTAGCATACATATGCCTTGTGTTGTTTAATGGATGCATTTCTAATCTGTCTCCTTTCCAATCTAGGGAAAGCAACTGAAAAATGCATCCTCTATTTTCGTGTCTATTTCAGCAGTGTCCTCCTTCACATTCATACAGTTACACAATCACTCAGTCATTCACGCTTCTGGGCAGCTGCACTGGTAGTGAAGGGGAGTTAAGTGCTTTATTTAAGTAGTTGTTGAGGGAGAGGAGAGTTTTTCATTTGTCACATTTTCACAGTCAACCTAGAGATTCAAACAGACCATCCAGCCACATCCTGTTTCTCTAAACATTAGGCTACTGCTGCCGTCCTAATGTGCCACATTAGTCCCCATACACAATCCTCCATGAGTCTTCTCTGCACCATCAAGGCAACAGAAAAATGTTACAGGGCTGTGAATCTCTAAAGTCATTCTCAACTAACCGTGAGACATCTTCATTTTTTGGTTTCTGTATAGTGCATTTCAATATGCTAATAATATACTCATGATGTACTATTTCCATTTCACAGTCCTGTGGTTTCTGTGTGATGTACACTCAGTGGCCTCTTTATTCAACATGCCTGTACAATCTAATCTAACACTGTCCTGCCCTAACATCTTCCTAACTGAAATCTTTCAGTTTTTAGTGATATCATCAAGGGGGTGTTGTACTTCGACAACATTATACTGAGAGGTGTTGTGTCATTTCTGTCCTTTCCATTTACATACATGGGTGGGGGGAGTTTTTAGACAGCAGAGTTTACAGTATTTGTACTTACATCTCCAATAAAACTACTTCTGAGGGCAAAAAAAAACTAAAACAAACTGTCTCCATTGTTTGTCCACCAAAGCGCACTGACAACTGTCAACTCAAATGTCCCACTCAGTAAGTATCTTGGCCACATTTAAAACACAAAACAAATCTAGCAGGTCTGATATCTGATGTCTAACATAGGTATTGGCCAATATCGGTCAGGCTATAATGAACATCCCATTAACAGCATAACAAGTGGCTGGAAATACTTGAAAATGTTGTTTTCTTTCTTGAGCATATTAGCTGATAATTATATAGGTGATCTGGCCATAACGGTGTCTTCAATTTGCTTATCTAACATAATTTCATTCAGCTTTCCTCTTTTCTCAGCATCCCCGAGAGATGAAAACAGAGATTCACTGCTTATTGTAACTATGTGTACGTCTGGGTTGTAATTGCCAGGGCTCGTGTTTAAGTGTAACATACAGACTGTCATTGTTAAGCTTCAGGAGAAATAAGAATGTAGTAGCCGTATAGTTTAAGTCAAGTTGTATGTTACAGCAACACTTGCTGCACATAACCTTACACTGACAACACAATCATCATTTATTTTGATGCAGCCTCAAAAACAGTATTACTAGTTTCACAGTTCACCAGCCATTGTATCCTTCAGAGTCAACCTGTATCAGCTCCACATTAGGAAGCACTGTGTTGACATCAGAGGGACAGGCCTCGTTCCAAGATAGGAGCACCAGTAAAGTTAACTGAAATGTGTAAGTCAGACTGGAAACAAGTGTATATTTACAGTATCCAGCATTGTTATTTAAATACTGTGTATTACTGTAACATGTGACCATGTGGTGAAAACAGTCAAAAACTCTACAAACTATTTTATCAAATGTCAACACTTTGCACTTTGCCTTGCACCAGCTAGTTTCTTGTTGTGACATTTCTCCCTCCCTTCCAGCATGTCTGTCACCACAGAAATGCAATGATTACTGATTATAATCAAAGTGATTATATTAAAGTACTTACAGCAAAGTGACAAGGGTGAAATACCCTGATATTCCCAGCCTTTTCCAGAGCAACGACTTTAAAAGGAGCAATTAGTAATGTGACTTTTTCCAGAAAGTAACCATAATTCAAGTGCTAGAACTACTGATCAGTGCCAATCACTCCCCTGCCTCAGTGGCTGCTGATTAGTGGGATAATGTTGCACACACTCCCAGGTTTTCAGTTACAGTTAAATATGTTTCCTGCACATTGAAGAAAACACACATACCCATTTATTAAAAACCTAAATGCTTAACAATGGCTCATGGGAAAATAACTCATTAATTTTTAACGCTGTAAAAGTGAAGGCACTAACATTTTCATATGGTCAAAAACCTAAAACACCTACATAACCAAATTTTTGCTTTTCGCTTTTTAACAAACACATGTGAATGTGAAGACTCACCAGCTGTAGAGCAAAGAAGAGGATGAGGAGGATTCCACAGGAGAGCATGGAGAGGCCCAGCAGGAGCACCAGCGGCTGATACTGGCTGATGCAGGAGAATTTGCGGTATAGCGCCTCATTTTTCAGCTCCTGGTTGTTCAACAGGTACTTCCCCTTGGCCGGCATGGCTCAAACTTCTTACACAGGCATATCAGGTGTTAACAAGGAGCCCCAGCGAATGGGAGTGTGTGTCTCCACAACTTTTGTGTGTGGGTGNNGGGGGGGGGGGCAGAGGTTTGTTAAGAAGAGTCCACAGTTCTAAATCTGTTAAGGTCCCCTTGTTAGCTCTTGACGCTCAGGTGAAACTTTTTTTCTTCAGCGTGGCATCTTGAATGTTGTCGCTTCTCTCGCAGCTTCGTTGTAGCTCTCTCCACTAGTTGTCCTCTGTGTGTGTCTTTCTCTCTCTCTGTGATTCTCTCCCCTTCGCTAGTCCTTTTGTGTCTTCTATCCTCTGTCTGGTGTTGGCAGGCAAACCCGCTTCATCCTTTGCCAGATACTGTGTTGCTCCCTTCAGTGGGTTTGAGTAATAAGCCCAGGGCTGAGAGACACACAGGAGGAGGGGAGGGGAGTTTAAGAAAGGGGAGGAGAGGGATAAGGAGGAAGAGCAGGAGGAAAAAAAGAGCTGGTGAGGGCAGCAACAAAGGTCATCAGTGATCCCACCGGGTTTTGGGATGTAACGTCAGCAGCTCCACTCCTTAGAGGAACATAGAAGGAGAGCAGGGAGAGAAAATAACTTTTAGCAAAGGCTTGGTGGCACACACACACACAAGACAAAGACTTTAAAATAAACATACACTATTTTATTATAATGTTACAATATTTTAGGCAAATACATTAAGAAGCTAGCTATAACTTCTAAAACAGATTGGAGGAGATTGTAATCAGGCACCTCGTGACTCACTGGGAATACTGTGAGAGTAAGACATAAATATCCGGATCACTCGATGAGCACATGCTTATTCATACGTGAACTACGCAATGTCCACAATCCAGAAAGCCCCGTCTCCGTTTAGCCCCGGTCCCTGGCTCAGGTTGACCAGAACCTTCATATAAAGCACCCATGATGATAATATTGCTAATAAGAGCAGATGCTTTGGAGCCATTCACTGAAAGATACAACGTCGTGGAATGAACTTCTATACAGCCACAAATCACTTAATTCTCCCCCAGCTGAACTAACAATCAGATCCACAGCCGAGGCAATAAAAGACGACAACAGCCACACAAATCAAGTGGACCTGTGACTTCATATGCAGTCCATACCTGTATGGATCCCTGCCTGTTATAAGACAACAGCCTTTTAATGACCTGCTCATCATTTCAAAACAATCTGTGAGCACTGGTGGCTTACCTTTATGATCAAAACTGTAAACATAAAACAAAACCTGCAATATGAGCCATTTGATTTATCCACTCTGTCTAAGAACAATGCGTCTCCTGGCTTTGAGAGATCATGTCATATTTACACTACAGTCTGAGAGAAGATGCCGGAAAGGCTTTGTCAAAACACATACTGTGGATAGCTCTTCAAACAATCAGAGTGCTTTGGCCGAACTGCAAGAAGACCTAATAATCACAACGTACTATCCGTAGACAGCACAGGCAGGACAGGAGAGGCAGGGGCAGTGGAGCTTAGGTAAGGACTGCATTCTGGTAATAAAGAAATCTTGATGAAATGATTCTGAAAATGGTGAAATTGTAAATTATAATGCTCAAAAAGAACAGAGGGGAGAATTTGCATCCAACTGTCCAGTTATAGCTAATACGAGCTCCATATATTCATTTGGGAGGGTGGAGGAGACACTGTCTTGAAGCTCAATAGAAACAACATGAACTTCGCACCGGTGTCAATAGAAACCTCATTTCCTCCAGTTGCTAATATTGCTGTTTGCAGTATGTGTAAGGCTCTGCTCCATGTTTGTCCTTCAAATAGCAACAGCGACAGATGCTACGTGCCATAAAAGGAGAAGAGCAGGGCAAAAAGGGACAAGACACATACACACACCTGTTGCACTGAGGGGAAGTGAAGAGTCACCCGCAATGCTTCCATCTTGAAGTGGTAGAAGGCATTGCCACACTGAGACTGACCCGCCCGCCCGCTGGCAGTTTACAACCACTTCTAACTTTCAGTGCAGCTGCTGGACAGAACAGCATCCAGCCGGCTCTCCCTAGGCTCACATAATACACCAGCGGCAGTCTGAGGGCAGTAAAAGTAACAGAGAGCAGGGAGGTCAAACAAAGCCCATAGCACTGGTGGGGGACAGAGTCCTCCTCTTGCACCAATAAGGACCAGCTGACCTATAAGAAGAGAACCTGTACCTGTTTACGCTGGAGGAATCATGTACTCCACATACCTACCTAATGCCATGTCGAGATCTTAAACCTGTAAACGACTGTATGCAGCGCTGGTGTATGCAGCGCTGGTGTACATTCTTAAGCACATGTTACTATAAATGTCATCATAAATGGCAGACAAAGCAGGAGCCATATATATTGTTTATGATCACAAGCATGGGAATGTTCATTTCAGGTAAGCGTGCTCCTTTGATAGTCCGGGGACTTTATACAAGGCAGTGGCGACACTTGAGAGCAAAACACAAGCAATACAGGAAATCAAGGGAAATAAGAAGTGACTGAATAAGGAAGAAAGAAGACGTAAAAAAGGAACCGTCAGATATTTCTTTCAGTTTGATGGCTCTCATGTAAGTGTTTTTCCTGTTACCCATGTCCCAACAAATGTCTGGATGTCTTTTGTTTCTTAGACACTCTCTAGTACACTGATCAACAAGTAAGTGACATGACTGAACAAGACCAAGAAACAAGTTGAAGTGCAATTGTGGACCTAACCCAATATGCCTCTGAGTTAGCCTGCTCCATTCTTTCTTCACTTGCTGAACACGACAAAAAAAGGAAGCTAAAAGGTTAACAAAATGATCCTAAATCGATGGTCGAGGTCAGATGACTCAGGGCCTTCAGCATTTTAAGTGTTTGTCTAGACTTTAGACAGCCATTTGACAGTGCAAGGACTCTGATTTACCAATGTTAAAGCTCCTGGCCCTGGCTTTTTATGCTCCAACTCTAAAGTTACCATGGTAAAAAAGCAGCAACATCAGAACTGTGGCTGTGCTGTAGCACTGAGCTGGGAGAACAGAGACAGGGATGTACGCTTCAATAGAGCTGGGTCTCTCAACAAGAGAAGATGAATAGCTGAAACTGTGCTGCATTGACTGCCAGGTCTTTTACTATGAAAGCTTGGCAATTGAGGGAATCACATAGCAGCCTTGTAAACTGGCGTCACTGCATCCTGGAACAGCAGCCATACAAAACCAACTGACGTCACTGCGTGCTCGCTGCTGAGACGCAGGAACATACATCGTGTCAAAGAAAAGAGGAGGTGAAGTCTAACAGAGACTGGGAGCTGTAGCAGTAGTGTTTTTGTAGACAGCTTTAGAAAAGCAACGTGACTATGATAAGCATGGAAATCATGGGTGGGTTTAAATATACTAGGGGAAGACTAATAAAATGAAGCTACTTTTCTTAGTCTCCTAAAAGATTGTACAATGCTTCAGTCATCAAAAGAAGCAATGTGCAGGGTGCACTGCAATCTGCTGCTGCTAATTAGTCATTCGTTATAGATTGAGTTGTAACACCAATTCCCCTGCTCAATGGGAGTAATTCTAAACGTGTATATTCTCTCTATTCAGATAACAATATAGAGCATGTATACTGTACATTGGGAAGTGAGAACTCTGGGTTTTTATGCACCAAGAGTCTAATCTACATGGGACCTTTTGACTAGAATTGCTATTCACACTGTATTAATCCATGGTAACCTCAGGGTGTTCACAAGTATTGTGTTCAGCAGAGGAGTGACATGTTTAGCCTCCCCAGAAACAAAGCAGGAGTAGGTATCTGCTGGGCAGCTTAAAAAGCCCCACACAATGCCAGATGTCTAACAGGAAGCAAAGCAACTGGAGGAGAGATGTCAAGCAGCTCGACAGATACAATGCAGTCTCTAAGTACAACATATTTTCTATTGTTTTGCCTCCATGCTTTAGCATAGAAGTTTTGAAATAAAACATTGACTAGTCCTTTTAGCTTGCAGAGTCATCATTTATCATGAGTTCATTGGGATTTTGCCCCCTGCTGAGCCTGGTTGAAGGCCGGGAGATTTCAATTCCAAGGAAGCATGGAAAGTTCCTCAATGGTGAATCCATTCCCTTTATGCCAACTAATCACCTCTCGGGTAATAAACCAATCTCTAAAAACCTGGTCAGATCTGCACCAAACTTACACCCAATTCAAAGCCTTTTCATGGAGAGCAAACAGGCCAGTCTCTTTCCAAAGCAAATCACTCTGCTTTTATGGCAGTCTTTGTGTTGGCAATCAATTTGGACAAAAAAAAAAAGGAACAAAGAGTGACCTCTGTAAAAGAAAAAAGCAAAGCACAATTCTTAGCCAATGCTCTACAGATAAAGGGTTAGACAATGCGTCTAAATGTCAGCTAGGCCATGCTTCCATCAAGGATTTCAGTAAAAGAACACTAACATATGCTTTTTGGGCTCCTAATAATCCTTTCATATAGTCAATGTGCATATGTTTAAAGCATAGTCAACCCACATTGAACCCATCATATGAGATGGGTTCATCTCTGGTTGTCACTATCAACAGGGACTCCATTCTACAGTGTGCTTTGATAGCTACACATCAATGCAAAACAATGGAAATACACAGACTCATGTTACCAAATTTAGTTCATTTCAGTTTCACTTCCTTATTCATGCATGGATGTTTGTTCTCTTGTTCTGAATCTTGTCTGTCTATCTTTATTTGGTCAGTTAAATATAATTCAATTACTTTTCTGTCCACAGTTAAGACTCATACATGTCCAACCCAGCATTCAACCAAGTTTATACCCTGAGAGCTTATATCTGAGCAATAACAGGGCATGTTGATAGCCCACCTTTCTAAACTGAATGTGCAGTTAGTCATCAGCACCAGTTCACCCATTTAAGTGTGTAATTTATGCTCAGGTCTGCATTGTTTCGTGGACACTGACACCAGGGCATTTAAAAGATGGTAATTTGATGATTTAACTGATCTGTGAACTGGGAAATGTTTCAGAGTCTTGGCTGACCAGCTCTGGCATTTTATATTGCAGATATCAATAATTGCCATGATATAATCAGTGATTAACAGGACTAAATGACCCATTGTTATTTTCAGTATGCACATGGCACAAAATCTAATCTATAGGCTACCTATGTAATCTGGCAGGAGCTTGCACGTACACAGCACCTTTCCATAAACAGATGACTGATGTATGCGCAGCAATGCATGAGGCAGATTAGATTAGGCCTCCTGTCCTTTCCCATCTCTCCTCCCAGTACTGTCTACTGGTATTGAATTAGCCGCGTTCACCAGAAGGAGTTGCTGAAACTTAACAATATTAACAGGAGGCTATCTTAGAACTGATTTAAGCTTCAAATGCCACTGCTTATAATAAATACAGGAAGCGCAAGCAAGAGCACCACGTGCTCGGGAGCTGGCCATTACTGTGTGTGTTTCACATTTACTTCCACAAACTGGAGCCAAGTCGCACCACCACAAGTGAAGCCATCAATTTTGCTGCTTGACACAAACAGCAGTCCAAAGAGGGGTTTATTGATTTAAAAATACATAGAATTTATATCT